ATTTTTTGAACAAATATAATAAAAATACTCTTGTTATAGCGAATTGGCCAATAAAATCTCTTAAAATCTTTACTATAGCTTTATAGCGAAGTTGAGATCTAAAACATAGAGTTTATTATAACAAGAGTTGACTGTACACATCTTCAGGATCAATAGGTATTCTGGTAAGTAGAGCATTGTATTCAACACAATCATCAGCATTAACTTCTGTCATGTCTGACAGATCAGATGCTGTATATTCTTCGTCAGATGGATCACTGCCTTGAGGTTCACTTGTGCAATTAGAGGATAGAATATCGATGTCTTGTTCTTCAATAGATTTATCTACATCAAAAGCTTCTTTTACATTAAATGTAACATTCTCCTAACTGATGTTCAGATTTTGCTCAAAACATGCTCTCTTACAAGTTGTTTCCATTCTTTCAGGCATGGTTTGTCTTTCAAATATATTTTTTTCATTTAAAATTCGGGTTGTTTCAATTAAAAAAATTCTGCGAATTGGTTGATCTAACAAAGGTAAATCATCATTACTATCATCTAAATGTGTTTTAATATGATTACCTAATGCCTGTCGATCCTTAAAAACCTTACTACAAGAAAAACACCTTAGCATCTCGAAGAATAAGTAGCTCACCACGAAATATATATAGTTTCCAGGTTCGTGATTGGTAATGTACGGATAAAGTAAAAGATAAAAATATTAATAAATGTCTTGGCTTTCTTATATATATATATAAACGGTTATATTTGTCTTTAAAGTTAAATTCAAGTTTGTAATGTTCAGAATCAGATTTAGTTTTAATTTCACAATTACGTTAAAATACTAAAAAAATATAATTAGAACAAAAAATATAATAAACTTGCTAATTTTTTATAATTTTTTATCAATCGAATAAACCAAATGAAATTTTATTACATTTTTGAATTAAATATTAGAGGTTGAGAAATATCAATTTTGATGAAAATTTTTCTGTCAAAATGTAATAAATGTTTCTCGTAAACTTATAAAAGAGAGCATCTAAAGAAATAAAATGAAATGATCTTTCAAGTCTGTTTATATGGAGATAACGATCATCTCCTTTAAATTAAATGCATGTGATTGTTTCATGTATTAAAGTTTAAGCTATTAATAAAATTAGAAATTATTTTAACATCATACCGAAAAAAAATTCTCCTATTGTACGTTTGGAATGCAAAATGTGAAAACAAGAAATTTTGAACTTATTAAACGAAATGTATTTTAATGAAATTTATTTCAAAC